TTTAGAGGTATGTTGCAAGTGTTTCGTGTGGATGTTGCAAAAGTAGATCGAGATGTTGCACATGTTGCAATGGCTATACACGTATGTGTCAAGCGTATGTTCCTAATGTTTCATCTATTTTAGACGTACGTTGCAAGTGTTTCATCTGCATGTTGCAAAAGTAGATCTGAATGTGGCATATATATACAAGTGTTTCAGGTGTTTTCATACATATGTTGCAAGTGTTTTCATATAGACGTTGCAATGTTTTGCAATAGCTACACACATGCTTTTAAGTTTTTTCTTGTGTTTTGCAAGTGTTTCAGACGTATGTTGCAAATGTTTCAGCTGTTTCGGGCGTATGTTGCAAGTTTTTCATATGAATGTTATAAAGGTAGATCGTATATTGCACATGTTGAATGAGATCCACCTGCCGCAGCTGCCTGCTGCAGCTGCTGGGACGCCGTCGAGCGGGCACGAGTGTGTGGTTGGTCGGCGCGGGACAAGGCGCGGAAAACGAGCAGGCACGGGAAACGGGGGTGCAGGGGAACATGCCAGGAGGCATGGGCGTCCGGACACGCACGTGCGTGCAAACGTCCTTGCGCTAGCATCTCCGTTTCACCATACGCTGTGGTTGTTTTTAGGTTATATACTTGCAGCACGCTATATTTTACATCATAAAGTAAATACCCACTATATTTAGATAGGAGAAGATGTAGCGAACCATGCATGACAACTTCAAACGCACTAGTAGTACGGTGGCAAGGCTCCCTATAGTTCAGCCGGTCGGCCAGGGTTCGAACCCTGGTCCTTGCACCTTATTCAGGTCTTGTTTGGATTTAATCGTATTCGCATCAATTCATATGTGTTAGGGTTGATTGGAGTAGAATTTAAACTAAATTTTATCTTAATCCACTTCAACACGTATGGATTGATATAAATTCAATAACGTCTGGAATTTCGTCTCCCCGGTGACTCTTAAAAAAACAACTTCCTAGCACCATATAGACAGGTCATAAATGTCAGTCAATATATAGCAATATGCTTTTCCTATCCGAATCAATCCGCCACAAACAGAATCAAAATTTCAGAAAAAAAAAATTACACCACTCTCCATCATGTGATCCATTCACCCTGAAATCACCCCAGCCCATCCTTTTTCCAATTTTGCGGCTCCGTCCCTCGCTGGACCAGTACGGCTGGACGCTTCGCCTCCTCCTGTCCTCCTCCCCCGGCCCGTCCTCACCCGGTCACCCCATCTCGGGCGCGGCCCCCTCCCAATCTCCGATGGCGCTCCAAGCCCTAAACCCCCACCGGCACGCAGCGGCCGTCTCCCCGGCGCCGTCGCCCGTCCCGCGCCGCGGCCACCCGCCGCCGCAGCCACTCCTGCATCTCCCTCCCCGCCGACGCCTCGCGGCCGGCGCGCCGGCCGCGCGCCGTCGCTGCCGCCGTCTCGGGAGCCATCAACGAGGCCAGGAGGCGTGGGGCACCGCAAGGGGCGGCGGGGAGGACGGGAGGAAGGACACGGACCTCGCCACGCTCGGGAACCTCTGCGTCGATGTCGTGCTCAGCGTGCCCCAGCTCCCGCCAGCGCCGTGGGAGGAGCGGAAGGCCTATATGGAGCGCCTCGCAGCCTCACCGCCCGATCAGGTAGGGTCAGCCGTTCCAAATCGCTGTGGTGTTGTTTACAAAACAGTGTTCCCGAGCTATTTGTTGTTTGGATTTGGCATTAGATACGAACATAGCGTGATGAACCAGAAATGTATTGATCGTTACCTGTGGGATTTTTTATTTGGGGAAGCTTGCATTGTTTCTGCTTTATGTCATTTTTTAGCTGGGTGGAGAATAGGTTGTGCCTTAACAACTAGATGTTGACGGTTCAATATGGATAAGCTTGTAATCCGTATCTGTTTTTTGTGAGGTTGATCATGATTTCAGAAATCGAGCAGCAAAAACGAGTTGGTAAGCTATATTTTTGGTTGCTAGTTTCTGGCGAGATTCATCTACTTGGGAGAAATGTGGAGAACCGGATTATATATCAGAATGCTGCGAGTGACTTATGCCTAACGCTTCATGAGCCCCACGTAATGCAACATCTGGTTTTTGTATGTTCTGAACATTTTGTATTCTATCACTTTAACAGAAATTTTGGGAGGCTGGTGGAAACTGCAATTTAGCCTTTGCTGCAGCTAGGCTTGGGCTTAGCTGCTCCACTCTGGGTCATGTAGGAGAGGAAATATATGGAAAATTTCTTCTTGATGTGCTCCAAGTGGAGGGCATTAGTGTTGTTGGGATGCTTGAAAATACCAATGCTGCTGCGTGCCGCCAGGCCTATGAAACACTTCTATGCTGGGTTCTTGTAGACCCATTTCAGAAACATGGTTTTGCAGGTTAGAAAATGCTTTTGGAACAAAATTCTTATTCATGTTTCATTTACCGTTATGAAATTCATGTCCGTCTAATCCTTTCTTTCTGGTTTAATGTGCCTGGTCATTTATCAGTGTTGCTTTCTTTGCAATGCCAGCCGTGCAGACTTCAGTGAAGAGCCCGCTTTCAATTGGATACGTAAACTCCCAGCAGATATCAGGACAGCTATTCATCACTCCAAAATACTGTTTTGTAATGGCTACGCTTTTGATGAGTTCTTCCCTGATGTGATCGCATCCTCTATCGACTGTGCAATTGATTCGGGAACAGCAGTGTTTTTTGATCCTGGTCCCCGTGGGAAATCTCTCCTACATGGGACCTTGGATGAGCAGAGAACACTTGAGCATGCGCTGAGGCTCAGTGATGTCCTCCTCTTGACATCAGACGAGGTTAGTTGGCATGCATGCTGTAGTTTTAATTTACTAGTCTACTGTAATTTACGCAGGTGCTCTTTATAGAGGAATAATCAATTGGTCATATCCAGCACAACAAATCTCTAGTAGTAATCATTTCTTTATGAGACCAGATTCTCTAGAAAAGGCCAAGTGAGCTTTCGATGATTTGTGTCTTGTTGTCTCTCTGTGGTCCTATTCTGGTTGGCGAGATCTGAATGATTGTCTGTGTCTGCTTCTCCTTTGTTTTATAAAAAGGATTAACCTATGTTTAAGATAAAATATACTGCAAAACATGGATACTCTTTTTGAAAGAATTCATTGCTGAACTAGGCCTCATTTAGAACACAGTTACTGATTGTTGCAATTCTGCTGTTAGTTTTTCTTGTATTGATGTTCTTGTTTCACAGGCTGAAGCTCTAACCAACATCAGAAACCCAGTTCAGGCTGGGCAAGAATTGCTAAAGAGGGGGATCCGCACAAAGCAGGTTGTCATCAAAATGGGTTCTAAGGGTTCGATAATGGTCACTAAGAACACTATTTCCTGTGCGCCTGCTTTCAAGGTACTCATTGTGCTGATAAATAGCCTTTCATTTGTGTAGTGTGTTGGAAGTAATCAAAGTTACTTTCTGATTTATCGACACTTTGCCTGTCTTCATTAGATCGACGTTTTGGACACAGTTGGATGTGGAGATAGCTTTACTGCTGCTATAGCCTTTGGGTTCCTCCATGACTTGCCAGCGGTCAACACATTAACCCTAGCAAATGCAGTTGGTGCTGCAACCGCCACTTGCTGTGGAGCTGGAAGGAATGTTGCTCGCCTGGATAAAGTACTACAGCTCTTGAGAGAAGCCGATCTCAATGAAGAAGACACATTATGGACTGAGCTGATTGAAGGAAATTCTCTCTGTATGGTCTCAATTCTATCTGGGATGGCAAGAAATGGTTTTAGCGAGCAAATTGTGCATGTTCCTGTTACCAAAGTGGTTTCTGATCTTTTGCCTATGTTAGAAGCAGTGTTGGAGCGAAGCGCTGTCCAGGCTTGATTCCATACTGAATAGTAGATGGTTGTATTCATTTTGTCATTCACATAGATTCTTCTTTTACCTCCACGATCACACGATGTTTTCTGGTGATGAGTAGTTGGAGGCTAGCCTCCAGGTAAAGCTACTTTCTGAACAGAATGTGGTTGCTGAAGCTATTGATAGCTGTACAGCTATGGTCGCGTGGAATGATTGTACCACCTGAAAGTTTTGTTCTAACATGAAAGTGATTTGATGCTACAATGTGTGCCCCTGGCTCAGTAGTTATGTTCTGATGATTGTTGGGATGCTCTGATCGTTGTTGCTTTTGAGGCCGTCCCTTACTAGTGTACTGGCAATGGACTTGGTTTTCTTGAGAATTTCAGGCATTCAGGATGCAAGCAAAGCATCCTCAACAGAACGTGCCGTCTGTATATGGTCGATGTGAACGTGGTGAATTGCTGGACCTGCATGCGTGCCAGGTCTAGAGTAGGGAGCAAACTCATCTACCATGATCACCAACTAGTTAACTAACCGAACTGATCTCAACAAAACCTGGAGATTATAATTACACTGACAAACTAGCTCCTACAAGTAACAGCCACCACACCCAGATGATACAAGAAATATCCGTTTCTCGGTAGTTAACTATTCCGAGACATCACCGGTGCCTAGGGGTTTTGTCGAATCTCCGAGATGAGTATGTTCTGAGTTCCCATGTGCAAAATCACATCTGGGTGATGCTCTACCACTGCCATTTCTCAAATCTCCGAGCTGGAGCATCATGCTACCATGAAGTTTGCCATCATGCTGCAGTAGCAGTAGCTGCTCAACGATGCCAGAAACTGAAACAAGAGGTTGGGTCAAAATCCTTAGATTGGGAACGAAATTCGATAAAATGATGATGAGACTGAGATTTTCTACTTGCTACTGGAGATTGGAATGAAAAAAAGAATCAAGCAATGCCAACTACTTGTGATAGAGCAGTGAGTGACCAAAAGGTGTCCTATGCGAGTTCAGTGACTTCGAAAAAACTTTGACCGAAATAATGGCCGATCAATGGTTTTGAAGATACTATGTATTTTCATTTTTCACAACTTGTTCTAAGACATTCAAAATAATTCCTCAATGCTAACCGTTAAACTATAAACATTTACCTTCATAGTGATCAATCATGACCTCATAAAACTGTCATGTCCCTTTGGTCTGCCATGATTCTTCGCAGTTCTCTTAAATGGCTAGTTATCTCCTGTATACATTGTACTCCATCACTCCTAACATTAAGAGAACTTAGTATTTGCTTGAGAAAATCCTGATCTGCTTCAAGTGCCTTGAATCTTGCATTAAGGAGAGAAATGTCATGTTTAACGCTTTTCATAGTATGGATGTTTCCATCATCTGAGTGGGAACATGAAGTAACATTCTTTTGCTTCTCAACAGATTCATTCTCATCTTTTTCGTGACTGTGTCTGAGCACGTATTTAACAGATTCCTTCTCATCGTTGTTCTGAGAAGAAATTGATTCACTAATCAAGTCCTCCCGATGCAATGGTGAACTTCCCAGCTCTGAATTTTCTATATACTGGCTACTGCTCATTGAGTGATCACTGAATAGACTGTTCTGTAGAGTATCATTTGCATCACCCATATCAAGTCTATTTGCGGAGGGCATGCCTAGGGTTTCCTCCAATCTGTGCAAGGACTCCAAAATCTTTGCCTTTTCATCTTCAAAATCAAAAATGGTATGCCTCATGAAATCTGAGCCATCCAAGACTCCAAATGTCATAGCTCCATCAGTAGCACCAAATTTTCCAACATCAAATGGTTGGTCATGAAGCTTGCTCTGGTAACCCTCAAGTTCAGCTTCCAGGTCAAGTAATTCTTGCTCCCTTTCTGTCAGCAAGTCATTTAACTTTTCAATTGCTTCCTGGTCATGATCAGCCTGTTCTTCCATCATCCGGAGATACTGCAGTGCTTCCATGTGCATCGAAGCCTTTTCCTCTTGCAATCTGTTGATCATAGCCATCGCTTCGCTTGCTGCCACCGCTGAAGCACTTCGTTCTGCCTCGAGCTCCTTATAAAGCATACTCATTTTTTTCCTGTTAAACTCAGCCTGCTGCTTCAGGTGTTCCATGGAACTTTCACCTTCATCTTCACTAGTTGCATTGACATCAAATGGATCCAGATTTGAGTTGTTCCTATCAAGAAATGGTGCCATATCAGTAGCATCATAGTGTCGGTACTCATCAATCTGTGTGCCGCTTCTGGGGCTAGAAGTCATCTCATTCAAAGAGCCATCAAATCCTCGTGCAGTAGACAATTGTGACAGAAATGTCTTCACTTCTTCATTTGTTTTTGAGTAGGTGTCCCTGGCTGAGATTATTTCAGATAAACGAGGAGATTTAAGGTAGCCTCTGCTTGCAGAAGCATTTTTCATGCTGTTGTTCCAGCTGACATGAGTGTCTGCACTTGAGCCTGTTCCAGCATTCGTAGAAGCAGCAAAATCCTTTGCAGCTTCCACATCAGGGCTTCCTGAAACACCCTCAAAAGAATCACCAACTTCCTCAATACCAACAAGAAAAGCTACAATGCAAATTTGACATACTCAGAAATAGTTCAAGTTAGATAAGGATGACAACGTATTAGATAACATACATACTTTTCTTTTTTGGGAGCTCTGCTGAAACTTGTTCAGGAATAGCCTCCGACTGCATGTCGATACTGTTGTCACTTGCCTTGATTTGACTCCAGTTGATATCATCCAAACCATGCCCAATAGCACGATCCATAGATTTTGCAACCTTGGTATCACTAGACTGACTGTCAGTATCTCTTGTAGTATTCAGCGGTTGCATGGGCTTTGTCATAGCAGTATTATCAGAAGGAAGCATCGACAAGCCACTGGCATTGGCGATCGTTGGTTGCAGCTGCACATCGCGACTTGACATGTGATTGGCTCTTTCTCTAGCTTCATGAGGTACTGCATTGCTCTCATCGTCATCACTATCTGAGATGTGAATCTCAGATTCAGATTCGTAGCCAACCTTCAGTTCTCTGTATCCTTCATATGGCAAGTGATCAGAGCCGTCATCTGAAGAATGCCCAACACTAGGCATGGCTATGCTTCTTTGTTTTAATTTGCTCATATCATCATCTGGAAACCTGCTATTTGCTATGTCAGGTAGCATGTGTGAATCTCGTTTCTTCTTGAACCGCACTGAACAACAAGAGCACAGCTGTTTGTGTCTAGATCTCGACCAAGACTTCACCTTATCCCTAGCATTGATGTTTGTCAGGTTACAGGTCTTACCACCTGAGGTAGTGCAAGAAAGCAGGCACCTATCACACATATCATCAGAGCGCTCAAGCTTGTTGTGACTCTGGCAATACGATAAACGTGATATTTCCAGCCTGTGTGCAGCACAAACTAGTTCTTCAGAGAACCAGGCCTTGCCATGTAGAAACCGATCCAATCTCGAGCACAGCATACACGGTGACCGGAGGCTACACATGCGTGCGAACCTTGTGGCCATATATGACAGCACGGCGGTCGCAACGAGCATTATGATCAAACAGCACTCGCTGATGGCATGGCGAAGCACAGGCCAGAATTGCCGTGAAAAGTTCCGCGGCCTTACACGAGCTTGCGCAGCCATGGAAAGCTGAACACACCCCCAATACGCATGTAGGTTGCTGTGAAATCTTTTTTTTTCTACGAAGTTCCCATCAGTGAGGCACAAAGATACTAAAATCACACCACATTGTTGATGAAGAACGAGCAGTGTTAGAATCTTGATCACCCATGCCAATCTGTGTTTCCAAAAGAGAGAACTTCCACAGGCAAACTTCACCAATGCAGCAAGAGGCAGCAAGTGTCCTCGCAAAATTTAGCAATGCAGAAGAAGCTGCAATTACTAGGTTGCTCTGAATCGCATGCCAGGGTTCAAACGAATAGATAGATCGCCAATTGATCACAGGATACGATCTTTCCTGCAAAATAGTTGCATAAATGTACAATCTTTTTAGCAATTGTAAATGTAACATTTAGGGTTTCACATTCGCACCAGATTGTTCAGATTTGAAGGGTAATTCATTTCGGAACATACCAGCGCTGCAGATCTTCGATCAAGAAGCTGGATTTCCCTAAATCACCGATTTGGCAACATAATGGAGGCAAAGGACGAGAGCGATACAGTGGAATTGAACCAAAAGGTCCAGAAGTGTGGGGAAAAATCCCGAGAAATTGGGGAAAAAGTTTCTGGCTGCAAAGAGGAGGCAAAATGGTTCCCCCTCTCTCGGTGTAGGATTCCGGAGGAGAGAGAGAGAGGGAACAGATGCCCGCCGTCTCCTCCCTAAACCCCGCATTTCTCTCTCTAGCCTTTGCATGTAACTTGAGGTTGAGAGATTTAAGTATGGCCTCTCGTTACAATGGGGAAGAAGACCACCAAAAGCTGAAGAAAGAAAGCAAAAGAATGTGTAGTGGAAATCGAATCGACATAGTTTGTGATGTTAAAAGACTTATGTTCATTGAAATCATTTACTGAAATATTTGGCTCTACAGCATGGTGATACTTCCTGGAACTGCAGTAACTATTGGTGCTACTTTGAGTATGTGACAGGCTTTACTGGATTTTTGTTTACTGTTTCATGCAAAAAAAAATCTTCCAAAATGCAATTTGGTTCACTCAAGTTTGTTCCAAAGCTGCCTATTTGGACTATATTTATAATCATAAAAAAATATTTTCATAATACAAAAAGTACTTACTTTAAGACTATATATACTTGTGTAAGTATTGTTCCCCTTTTCTTTAAGTTGGTTGGCGTATTTCATTTTATCAGAACATTACCTTTGACCAACAATTTCTTTTTGACCTCCAACTTACACAGCAATCAAATTTTCAACCTTAAACTATAAAACAGCAAGATATCCTACAACTGTTAAGATCGGGACGAAACACCACAGCAAACATGTGCAAAGTGGTTTCCAGGTGGTTTCTATTTCCTATAAATAATAAGAACATATTTTTATTTTAAAAATCCTAACTAATTTATTAAATCATAAAAATAGGGATTTTGTACCATTTTTATAAAAAATCTATTTAGACTCTACTTTATGCTACTTACATGACTAGTTGATTACTTGAAGTTTGAGACACTGCCTTAGCAGTTGACATATGCAATGTGGAAATAGGATCTATATATGTGGTGGAGCATGGCTTCTTGTATTCTTTCACATCTTTCAATGTACTCATATTCTGCAAGATCCCTTGGTTGATCTAGGTATGGTGCAAAACGATAATTTAAATAAATAATGAGCACGTCTGTGAGCAATAAAACAATAGGAATGTAAATAAATAAGTTTCAATAGATCATCAACAAATAGAAAATGTTAGTTTTGTATTTTTCTATTTTAAAATAAATTAGTTATCATTTTTTAAAGATTAAATCATATTTCTATTTTTTTAAATAGAAAACCTCCTTGGAAACCACTTTCCATAGGCTTGGGGTGGTGCTCCATTCGGTCTCAACAGTTGCAGAGTGTTCGGTACCAGTTTCATAGTTTAGGATTGAAAATTGGTGAAAGTCTGAGGTTGAAAAGGATTTTACCCTTTTTTAAAAACAAAATGTTATTATATTTTTATGAAAAAATAGATATGATGATGATTTTTTATCACGTAAATAGCATAGTAATAAACTATTTCTAGTACATAGATGACATATTAATAGATTAATTGTTGGTCAAAATCTTGTCCTAATGAAACAAAATGTGCCTAGTAATTTCAAATGGAGATAGCAAAGTTTAGGCCTCATTTATGTACCCTTTATTTTGTAAGTATTGTATATAATTCCAATTTTCTTTTTAAAGAACTTTATAGTCGAGCTTATAAGGTAATTTTTTTGAATAGGGCATCCGTCCACCCGGACGCTCCCGCTGGTGGGCCACGACGCCGGCCCAAATAACCCTCTCTTATCCGTTCGTCGCCACAGTTTCTAAAAAAACCACCTCAACGGAGCTCGCCCACGCATAGCGCACACTCCACCAGAGTAGCTCGCGGCGGCCGGCTGGGGCGGAGGCTGCCTGCACTCATCTTGCCCGGGGCGGAGGCTGCCCAGCTCGCCCGCGTGCAGCTCACGGCAGTCTCCGCCCACGCACATCTCGTGCTCGCCTGCCTAGCTCGCTGTGGCTGGGGCGGAACTCACCCGTGCGTAGCTCGCGACGACCGAGATGGAACTCGCTCACGCACATCTCGCAGCGGACCTCACCCGTGCACAGCTCGTGCTCCACCCCCATATTGTGGAGACCCGCCATGGCCTTCTCCACCATACCTGCCATGGCCTTCTCCACCAGAGCGGCAAGCTCCGCACCGGCAAGCTCTACACTGGCGAACTCCACACACCGACGAGTCTCCATTCTCCTAAGCAACAAGGAGATGTTGCATTGAAACCGAATGTTGCATGCATGCATATATTTCAAGTGTTTCAGATGTTTTAGAGGCATGTTGCAAGTGTTTTATATGGATGTTGTAAAAGTAGATCTAGATGCTGCACATGTTGCAATGGTTGTATATGTATGTTGTAAGCGTCTGTTTCAAATGTTTCGTTTATTTTTTCAGACGTATGTTGCAAGTGTGTTTATTTGGATGTTGCATATGTTTCATATATATTTACAAGTGTTTTATCTAAATGATGCATATGTTTTGCAATGGCTTTTTCAAGTGTTTTCATCTGTTTTTTGCAAGTGTTTCATACGCATGTTTTAAGTGTTTCATCTGTCTTTAGACGCATGTTGCAAATGTTTCATCTCGATGTTTCAAAAGTAGATCGGGTGTTGTTGCTGGGACCCCACCTGCGTGTCTGCTGTAGCTGCTAGGGCGTCGCTGAGCGAGCGCAGACATCCGGGCACGGGTAGTGGAGGGGGCACGAGCAGTCCCCGCATAGGGTCGGGCGGCGAGGGCCCCGCGTGGGCACGTGAAACAAAGTGCAAGCGCGGGCGTCTGGACACGCTAGCACTGCCGTTATATAAACTCAATTGGCAATAGCTTAACTTATAAGTCAGATAATCGAGACCCCTCTACCTTATAAAATCCTGTAAGCTACTTAGACTAGATTGTTTTAGCTCATTTCAAACTTTATCTTCCATGCCTAAGTCAATGGCAAACAAACATTTTCTTAGAAAATTTGACATGAAACAAACCTAGCTTACCATTTGGACCCACGCTGTGCGCCTGTGCCCATATACAGAATCTATCTTGCCATTTGGAAGGTTGTTTTGGCTTCCTCCACAGCCTTCCAGGCTTACTGCTCGCTAAATCCCATCCCTACACAAATCAAGAACCCTCCATGAGTCCCTGTCATACAAGGAGCTGAGCCAGCCAAAGCCTAGCATTGCTATTCCATCATTCACACACTGCTATCTCCTTGTGCAGAACCAAAAAGCAAAAACTCTCCACCAAAGCCTGGCATTGCTATCCTATCATTCACACAGCTATATATCTCTTTTTAATTTGTACAGAACCAAAAAAAAAAAGCATGCAAGTAATTAGTTCCAGGGTAAGAATTATCATTACAGGTTGTTTCACCTTTCTTTTCACCGCATCTCCTACCACCTGTTTGCTCTAGTCTTTCACACAGCCCCACAAGAAGAAAAGCTCTCTTTGCTGCAGGCGATGGAGTTTCTTCAGCGCTAAGCTTGGAATCAAAACAACTGGGTAGCAGCATGCAGCAGGCAGGGGCGCAAGGGCCATGCAGCCCAGCGCGTGGATGCAGTACGTGCAAAGCAAAAGAAATCCTTTGCTTGGGAATAAAATCATGTACCTTGCATGCACCTTCAATTCGTTGTCAAACAAACAAAGTTCAGCCTTTTCAGATGACGCTCTTCTTAATCTTCATTAAAACGTTCTGCTAGCACGACTACACGACCATATGTCTTAGGAGATGTAGATTGTTTGTCATCGTCTTGACTGGCGGCTAAGATACAGAGTCATGAACTCATGATGGTTTTGACGACGACGTATTCATGTCGGGATAGATGCGTGGCTATAAAACGTTCTGAGAGGTGAGGTAGTTTGACTCTGATGAACTAGATCGTGATCAGCATGCTAAATTAGGATGCATGCAGTACGGTTTTGATATGTTGTTGGTGCAAGATGTGGTGTGAAAGCGACGACAGCGAAAGAAGCATCTTGTGTATCAATCTGCCATAAGGCTGTGGAAAGCACGCACCGACCTTGCCCGGCCGATAACAAGCTTCCCTGCGGCCTAGCTACTTCTCTCTCACACTCTTATCTTAATCTCGTTCATATAAGTCCTCTATGATCTCTCTCTCTCTCTCTCTCTCTCTCTCCCTCTCTTCCTCTCTCTCCACAAACAAAAACGCTTGTGATCTGAATCGACATGAACACAAGCTTGTTCTGCTTGATGATCGATCCTCAGCTCGCTCTCTCATATATATGGCAGTTGAGGGGAATGTTGTCTGGTCGGAGACCTAACACCGCGGATCCATGTATGGTGGTGGATGGTTTCGGACCAGGCTTCATTCCCCCCAACTCAATACTCAACTGTTCTTCCGCCTCCAATCCGAATACACCGCAGACAACGACGACGACGGTCTCCTCAAGGATGATTCAACTCCCTACAGCAGAACCCATGGTCGAAC